CGACAGGGCTCTCCCAAATAACAATTGCCGCATAATTGAAAAACTTTGTAACATCCTCATTTAGTTACAACTCCAAGAAAATTCTTCTTGGGTTTCTTGTAAGACCAATTAAGGAATTTTTTCCGACAAATTTTTCCATCGAGTGAAAATTCGAGTAACGATGATAAGAAACTCTTTTGAAAGACCATTATACGCTATACGAAAATATATGCGAACATCTCAAATCTTCAGAGAAGTCATCATCATCTAGATATTTAGATATATTCTCTGCGAATAATTCTAGGGCTCTTTTAGGTATTAAGGATCTTTTCAGAGAGCGTATTTTAAAATGAGTTTTATAAAATGCCTTAAACCTAAATTCAGATGGGCCAGTATAGGCCCTGGACTGGAAGTGTTTGATATAATTCTGGGAAATAATCCAAATCATACTGATAATTATCAAAAATTCAGAGATAAATATTCTGTAAATTTTTTTGCAACAAACGATACAATATGCAACACACATCACGCCACTCATAATGCTTTGGCTTATCTAGTAATGTATCTGATGGCAAACCAAAAGAACCCGGAGCGAAATGCAGGCTTCTGATCAATTACCATAAAAAGAGCCTCGCAACCTCAATGTGCCAGTAATTCCTGAACCAGATAAAATCCTCTATTCGCCTCAAATAGTTTAAAGGCATGCTTGTGAATGAGTCCGAAGTGCATGAACAGGACATATTTGATATACTTACGAATACAAAATAAGAATGACAATAAGTTAAACTTAAGTGAAAGGTAAATATACAAGTACCACTTTAGCAATGTTTGATGTCAACAACATACAAAAGCATATAATACTTCTAGTTAGTAAATTTATAAAAAATATCAAGGATTAGTTTGAATTCCTAACCATATTACCAGAATTTTTAAATTTGTAATTTGCATTCATGATCTAATATAATTAGCGAGGTAAAATATGTTTAACCACAAAAATAGAGAATAGAAAATGTTACAATTTCTTTCTCTGGCTATATTGAAATACTTCTAGTCGTAATTTTAAAATATTCACATTTTTAACAGATTAATCATGCTATGTTAATGCATTAATTTCAAGCATTTTAGTGGTCCGCACAAAATAAATGGCTCAATTATAAAAACTAGAAAGCACTTTCGTAGATATCAAGAACAAGATGGTATGGCCTTTTATTTGGTTGTAGTCTGCTTTAGCTGTATAGTGTAGACTTGACTTCGTTTTAGTAACATGGTTTCGGGCAAAAGAGAAACATTGTGAAGCGTACCTAGACATGCGTACTTTGCCATTGAATGCATGATTTTCAGCATTGGACTGTTGTGGGGCACATTCCAAAACGTTTCACCGGCAACTTCAGTAAGAGGCGCCATCGTGGAACAACTTATCTAAGTAACAAATTTTAACTCAGTGCTACGATGGCTTCCCTTACTGGCGATACTGGCAAAACATCTGGGAATGCACCAAGTAAACAGTCCGACTCTGGAAATCATGAATTCTATGGCAAAGGACGCACAACTAGGTAAGCTAAACACGGTCTCCCTGTTTTACGACTAAGTTACGAAAACGAGGTTTAACCAACGCTAGAAAGTATTTTGATGCTTATTCTATTTGAAAATGTGTAGATTGAAAATCTGGGATCATAAAGAAGCTGAAACGATATTAAATCATTTAAAGCAGATTATTATATGAAGTCCTGCTTGTAATTGAAATTAATGTTTAACGCAATTAGACTGGATAACAAAGTGGGTCAATTATGTAATGATATGCAGTTATTTATGCTCATGTTGCAAATTTCATTTAATTTGAAAAATTGATGAAGAAGATTAGTAAAATGGCCTCGCCAGAAAAAGGATAAATGCTGCAATAATTGTATTTAGAGGACTTGTTTGCATAAATTTGCAGTCACAACTTTAAGACAATCCGCCTTAGGCCTCCAGTAAATCAAATTACTGAACTCTTCCATTAGTTGTCTTAAAAGAAAAGAAAGTCACAACAATATGAATTTACTGAGAGATTCTTTGAATCACATCTTCTCATCAAATCTGCCAGAACCTTTTGCTTGTAATTAAGTCAGGGATATGGAAAGAACCTTACAGTGTACAAGGGTCCAGTGGGTTCTGATAAAACGATAGTTAAACTAACCCACTTTAAAAACCTTGACATTCAACATACCGTTGCAGGTCCCTACGGGCACGTGTCTCAAAAGCGTATTCTACTCTTTCCAGACGAGTCCAGTTGGTATCGAGTTGTTGAAACTTGTATGCATCACTAGGCAGATAAGGCGTCATCCCAATGTTCTTCTGCTTGACCTTGATCTCAAACAACCGGGCTTCTAGAGAAGAACGTTGCTGATATCTGAATAGATTGACAATAATAAGATAAATCATGTGTAAGCATAGACTATCGGATGCTATATGGGTTACTTCATTATGCATTAGGGGTAGTTACATATTGGGGTATGAATAAAAATAAGGCTTAGAGTGAGAGTTGAATTCATAAAGAGAATTAGAGTATATATATGCAGGTTCGGAAGAAGAGTTGACGATTTTGCTCATGTAGGATGTAATCGCAAATGGATTGTAGCTTATATATTAATCCCCTCTCACAAATATAGTTTTCTTTGTCTGGGTTAAAAGGTAAGAAGTGGTAACCATAAATATATTTAGAAAAAAATAAAAAAGTAAATAAGAGCAAAAGCGATTAAAAAATATTTGTCACCGCGAATATTGGCTGATGCCCTTATTCTGCACATAATCAGCTAAAATATCAGACATTCTGGCTAAAAATTTGCAATGAACATATAGAATATGCTTTCTGATGGCATTATCTCATAATAAAGGGGAGTAAGTTTAAATTGTCATTCTTATTGACCTGCAAATAAAAATTGGTTTCAGTGGCATTCTTTATTTCCCATAATGATGTACGAGCCTAAAAATTGGCCATACAAGTTGATCAAAGTCTAATCTGTAACAGGAAAGTCACCATAACTCTTTCAATAACAACAATATTTAAGGGAAATCTTTTTCTCAAAGCGATTGAATATACGATAGACCAAATCCTACAGAATAGATTCGGTTCATACCGGACTAATACAATCTTTTTGAACTTCCATTAGATAAAACGAATAGATATACAATGAATAGTATATTTGGAAGGATGTCATTGCCAAGAAAAGTGATTTTAAATTAAATATAATTAAATACATTTATATAACACGTTTTGAAAAATGATCCTATCTGATACTATTCTGTGAAAAGTTTGTGCTATAAATTTTGATTATAATATGTTATTTGGGATCTGGCTGAATCTCTCTAATAGTTCACATTTCAAATATCTTCTTATTTGCCTTACTCGAATCACGGAAAGTGGCGCTAATGCGAAAAGTGTAATTATATCGTTAAATTTGATTATTTTAACTATTTAAAGGTGTCTTAAAAAAGCTAAGATCAAAAGGAATTGTGAGAGAAGCCTTAAAATCCCTCATAAAGTTAGACATGCTTGTAAGACAGATTTCTTCTGTTTGAGCCCTTTTAGGTAGGAAGGCTATAGTTGAATGCAAGAATAAACTTAAGATACACATGAGTCTCTTTCGTCCTTTGCCTTTTAGTGACAATAAAAAACCAATAAATAGCAAGCATATCAGAAAAAAAGAACACATAAAATGTATTCAAGGTATATGATGCTATTATATAGTTTTAATTTAATAAGCCGCGATAGGAATCAGTAAAATGTAGTCAGATACTTATTTATTCATCGAAATACTAGGATGGAAGGAGATTTGGGATTTGGCTCATAGTTAATTTTCTATTGTCGAATTTTGTTATCACTTATGTGCGAAATTCCGTTCTAAGCACATCTACCTTGAAAGAAAACCTAGCAGCGATAGATTTAGATAATATCATTAAAAAAGTTTTAAGGCAATGATTAGGGCTAAAAATAATAGGACCATTGAGACTAATAGCGAATTTTAGGAGCCTTAAATTAAAGATTAAATTAAGATTACCAACCACGGTGAATAACTTATACAAAAGTTGCCGAAGAATCAAACGCACCAGTTTGGAGGAAACGAACTTTTGGCGAGCCTTGATGTACAGTCCATGTACACCAAGACTATAGGTGAAGAAGCATTTACGACACTACTGGAAATCTTGGGAAATGAAGATGACATCCCGGAGATGTAGCGAATCCATAAAGAGTCTCTAACCCGATTAATCATCATAATAATAAGAACTATCTATTTCACGTATCTACAAACGAATATTTGATCCGCCTATGGGCTCAACACTCTTAACCCTGTTGGGTAATGTCTGCCTACTCAACCACATGGAGTGCTCCAGAGTTTACATCATAAACTGCAAGAACTGTAAACAAAAATACATCGGACAATCAGCACAACGATAAAGGAACACCACGACAATGCAGAAAAATTAATAGGGAAAGATCGGAGATAGCTGAAAGTATCGCCCGTAAAGGTCACACAATTGACTGAAGTGCAACGGAAGGACTGGCCTTATATGGAAGGAACACAAGAAAACGTAATATCAGGGGCACTGTGGATATCCTATCTTAAAAACCCTATGAATAGGAAATTGGAAGAGGAAAGAGTCAGCGATAATTTCATGTACTACCTGAAAAAACTTACAGATTCAGCGAAGACACCAAAAAAAGCTCTAGGACCACAGGACAACTATTCCTCAATAGGAAGAGACATCGCTAAGGAACGACTAATGAGGGACAAAGGGAAGTCAAGAAAAGGTGGTTGCAGTAAGTGAAATCAAACCTGGGATCAGCCAAAATAAATCCTCCCGAAGGGTCCGCCTGTGGGATGTAGGAAAGGAAATTAAAAGTTAAAGGTATAGGTGGGCTAGATAAATATCACTAACGTGTGTGCGTGCTTGTGAACAGTTATAGTGTATGTGCCCTAATGTAAGATGATTAGTGAAATGTTTGGTCAAATAGGATACCAGCCGAAACACACATCAATATCCTAGTACCCTAGGGTTAGATTGGAGTGTCAACTTGAAGGACAAGAGGAGTGTGCTTTTCGCAATTCAGGAGGAAAAAGGGAAGTGGTGCATTTTGACACCAGTGGTTATGACTTAGGCCGGGCACAGGGCCCCAAAGAATGGAATACGATGTGGATGTGAATGAGAAAGCGGATAACCGAGTCATGGGTATGAGGCGTATGGAGAGAAAGATACCCAGGCACTGGCATGGGAACTGAGATAAGCATCATCTGCTCTAAATCCTCGAATATGATGTAATCGGGGACGGGAATTGAAGGCTCTTAGGCGCCCAGATTTAGGACAGCCCTAAAGTGATTTTGATGTTAGCAGCGGCCAATTAATAAGAGGGTAGGGAAAAAGGGGGCAGAATGTAGGTCAGAAGCCCTGGAAACGACATCTGGTATCGGTGGTGGAGATTATTACGCTTAACCAAACCCACTTGTAGCGACAAACGCTTAGGCGACATTGGATGAAATGAGAACACAGAATTGTGTGAATAAGGGGATGGGCCACATGAAGTGGGTTTAAAAGAAATAGATACGGCACTAGAAGGTAAAGCAAAAAATAGGGCAGAGGAGTGATGTCACAATGGTTGAAAAAAAAATTAATGAAGGGGATTGCCTTCACTTATCACTTTGAAAAGTTTTAATTTTGTGCTTGAGATGGCGACTCTTACTGATAATGCATGCGAAACGTTTGAGAATGTACCAAGTCAATGATCCGATGCTGGAAATCATGAATACATGAACAGCGGACACAGGACTAGATACGCTCCACAATTTATCCCTGACGCTCCGACCAAGTTGCGAAAACGAGGTTGAAGCAACAGTAAAAAAATAGCAGCTTGCGAAAGTACTCATTCCCAGCCAAATAGATGAATTGATATTTTTTAAATCCAATACTGTGAGCACCACAAGAATCGACTGAAAATAACCCACTGTATAAGTTTGTTGTCCGAATTGTGTTAACCACTTAACAGAAAATTAGAGCCTTTTGTAGCGAATCGACTGTGGAAATGAAAAATATATAATGTAATAGGAAATATTAGTAAAAATATAAAGGCGCATAAAAGGTGCGCAACCTCCAGTAATAGTAAGCAGGCGAAATGCATGAAACACAGACATGCAATGTTGCCAATGAGATAAGGAAAGAATGAAAGGAGGATTAATTTAAAGTTATATTACCGTCTTTTCGTTTTACCATAACCATTTGAAATAAAGGAGTAAGGTTGCTAAGAGAATATATTTATCTTCTAGAAGTGGCATATAGAAACACACATTTCGGCAAAAGCTGAATAAAATTTTGTAAATTTGAATCAACAAATCCTCACTCGCCAACTCCGTCCAGCGGCCATAATTTTTTTTAAACTTGGACTATATTCCTCCAATAACTTAAGAATTGAAAAAGATTAAAAAGCCAAATGTCATTGTTATAAACACCACTTCAAACCGAGATAGCATATACCGAAAGGGCATTCTTAAGCTCCAACCAAAAAGGCAGATAGTGATAGATAATAGAATAAATTATATAATTTATAACATAAATAAATAAATAGCCAAGGCGTCATAAAAAAATCATGGGAATAAAATTGAATTATGTATCAAGCTCATGTCATTTATCTCGAAAGCGACCTAAAGTTTAATCCAATGGATGCAGGGGTACATGAGCTTCTATTTAGACGATGAAAAGAAATGTAATTATTTGATATTTGGTTGCGAAAAAGCATAAGCCCAATTTGCAGGAAAAGCCCGCAATGAATAGTAGTGTCCAAATATAAAGAGATATAAGTGCTCATTTCTTCTAAGTGAGGGGTGAGATAAAGAGGCTTATTTGTTGGCTTACTTTGGCGGTTTCTCCTGTCGAATGTAGAATGTAAACTCAGCTAACTGCTGCTTTATTGCCTGGAGGCTCTTGAGCTCTTTGAAGTTCGGGTCAAAACGTTGTACTTGTTCCTGGATCCAGCGTAGCAATTGCGTAATATCTATCTCATATTGGTTAATCATTTTCTGCACCAATATCGCTTGATCTAAGATCTGAACTCCGGGTTTGTCGAAAAGAATATGAATAAGAAAAATTGAAAGGGATGGATCTGGGGGAATACTTAAGAAGATAGTCCTGCTTTATGCCAGTAATTATTCAGACAGTCTAAAAAGCAGACCGTCAATAAAAATTTGACAAAAAAAGTGTTTATGTGAACCTATTTTGGTACCCTTATTAATTCATACAATAATAATGATTATATACTTATGTATTATTAGATTATATGGTTGAAAACTATATAAATTTGAGGATTATACCTAATCTAGACTTGTGCTATTAAATATAGTAAATATGATTAATGAGGGCCAAATATGTGAATGGGCCAGTAGACTTTGCAGCTGGTAAACCATAGATCACCACCTGGAAGAAGGGAGAGAATACGAAGCCTAATGGAAGTCATACATTTTAAAAAAGCATCATTCTAGCTATATAAAATTGGGTTTGTTTGGAAAGCATCATTCCTTTTCAAGCCTTAGTTGTATTTATAAGATGTTGAGCTATTATGCAAAAAAAACAATTATGTCACTATATGTAGAAAAATACAAACTATCAAATATGGTTTCTTGCCTGTTCATGGAGTTTAAATCAAACGAAAAGTTTATAAAAAGCCAATATAAAGTTTAGGATGATCTGGAAATTTGCTTTCATGAGACATGCTAAAAAAATACAGCTTTTATTTTTGATAAAAGAGACTTTACTCTGCTGATGGCTAGGCCAAATAAAATTGTCAAATAAATACCGAGGATAGGTGGTTCGATCTCGTTTTCGCAACCTGGTCGTGCTATCAGGGCGACATAGAATAACGAATATTGTCAGAAATTCTCTGCCATAGTAGTCATGATAATTTCCAGCGTCTGGTCGTGGACATAGTGCATTCCTAGGCATTTCATTTGCATCCTAGTCAGCATCGTAAATGTGCCAAGTCACTGGTCAAGTAATAAAAGTTGTCATGATACTATGGCAGATGATGTAGGCATGGATACGCTCTAAAAGTTGTCACTGTAATCCACCAAATTTGCTAAAAGGAGAATCAATTAACTTTAAAAGCTAAAGGAGACAGCGACAAAGTCAAAAGCGAAATCATTATCGCATTTATATTCACCAAGGGGATTCAACGTTGAAGTGGATGATGAAATCATTATACGAAAAGCCTTTCTATGAGCTTACAAATTGCCCATGTTTTAAGGTACACGCGAGATTAATAGCTATTATGCAGCAATGTTCTTTATATAAGTTTTTTGACCTTGTTCTTGCAACCTGGTTATATTGGAAGTAAGACCTAGAGTAACGTACCTTGTCCGGAGTCCATAGTGTGCACGATACTTGCCAGAGTCGGACCGTGGACTTGATGCATTCCCAGACGTTTCACTGGCATCGTAGTCGGCATCGTCAGTGAGTCTTGCCATTTTTAGCAGCAAGCTACAATAAAGAGACGAGTGAAGTCAACCCCTTGACTAACTTTCTGTCGAAATGGTTTGCCATAACTCCTCGTTTTGTCATAGTCCCTCTATCCATTTCCTAACCTCTTGTCACGCCCTCATCCTATCACATCTTCTGACATGTTCATAATCCACAAGTGACCAGAGGATATCGGACAGACTGAATACGAGATTCATTGGAAAACAACAGAAAGAAGAGCCTCATACGGTGAAAGCACAAAGAAACGGAAGATTAGGGAGGCCAATGACATCCTTGAGAAAAGAAATGTAATGAACTGAGGATTGTAAGAAAGTGATATTTTTCGTATATAAGCAGAGTTTCGAAAGTTTAGTCCCCCCTGGATGAGAACAACTCTTTGGAAAGCAAGGCAATATTAAATTCAATGAAAACGTCAGGTCTACTCATATTATTGTGCGAAATTCTACTACCAGTCATTCTTCACCTTAAACGAAATAGGGTGAATACATCTAATATAACTGATTCACTGGTAGTCTCGAAACCCTGCTTATATACGAAAGAGTTTGCAATAACTTTGTCTATTGCCTAAGAAACCTCGGATAAAATAGAGATGCAACAAGACAAGCAAAACTGAGACGCCTAGATCTGGGATCTATCGTGAACCAGAATAAAATGGATTGCAAAGAGGAGAATTAGGAAATTTCGTAAGTGAAGCAAAGACACTCTCAGTGAGTGTAGTCAGTTCAAATAAACAACGACAAAGTTGGGGGCTGATATTTCTCGTGACTAATGAGACTAGAGATCACAGAAATTGGGCATTATGACCGAATTGACTATTAATCCTCTTGGGATGCAGCAGAGGACCAGAGATAGATGTCTACAGTTTGCTTAGGGTA